CACATCCTGATCGAAAAAAGTCCACTGAGAAGGGTGCCACTCTGAAGACGAAAGATCACAGCAGGCAGCAGCACCGCTCCCTCAAAAAGGTCGCTGGCAGTGGAAAGACTAAACAGAAGCCCAAGACTTCGGAGAATAGGAACAAATAAACACAGTTATGCGGTGCTTTTTTTTGTCAATTTAACTTAAAAGTTAATAAAAAATGGATTCAGTACGTTTCCTGATTTTGAAAGAGGCAAAAAAGGATGATTTGTGATTAGTTTGATAATTGCGTATTTAAAAATTTTAAAAAATTTAAATTGTGTCAAATAAAAACTCAAATTTAAAGCTTTCAGATTTTTTTGCACAACCACATAAAACCAATCAATAAAGTTTGATTGATGCAAAAATTGTAAAGTGAAAAAGCACAATTTTTAATACATCGATATTGGGACAATTGCAAAAAAACAATCATGAGCAAGGTTAGACCGGTTCGGCTAATTCCCTAGGGCCCAAGGAACACGTGAGCCACAGGCAGTTTGCTTGCTCAGTCGTTATTGTTTTGATTTGAGCCGTTTATCTTGTCCACGTTGTTTTCATTTGCTGAAGTTAACTTTTGTTCTTTCCATTTGTTTTTTCGTGTTTAGCCACCTACACAGGAAAATGTCTGGTACCGAGCAGCTGTTTGAAACTGTCGATGACATGTACGACGAGTTTGATTTTGAAAATAATGATGAAGAAGAAAACAAGGGAATAGTGGTGAAAGAAGAAGAAGACTCGGAAACTGATTACGATGCTTTGGAAAGTGTCCATCAATCAGCAGAAAATTGTGAGTGTTGGGAAACTGATATTATTTATTTTACTTGTAAACTTTTTTATACCGACAGAATCGAAAATTAAAACTGAAAAACAAGATGAAACGTCAATTGATATGTACGACGATGAGTTTCATTTGATCATGGAAAAAGATTTCGCTGCTACTGCTGCAAACTCCAATGAAGTGAGTGAGGCATTGAATGTCAACGAAGAATCAGAGACTGACGCAACTGAAACTGATGATGAGGATTATGAAGCAGTCAGTGGTGAGTGGGCAGTGTGTGTGTTTATTAATTGTTTTGTGTAAAACTTTTCATTTTGTAGAATCTCATCAAACTGAAGCAGTGGTCAATGGAAACTCGAGCAATTCATCAAGCAAACAACAACTGAACCGTCGTCAAAAAAAAACTAAAAACCACAAGTGTCAACAGTGCAACAAAAGCTTTCTATCTCCATCTCATCTCAAAAAACATCAACGGGTGCACACTGGCGTCCGACCGTACAAATGCACAATTTGCTCCAAATCATTCACACAGACAAATGATCTCAAACGACATCAACGGGTGCACACTGGCGTCCGACCGTACAAATGCACAATTTGCTCCAAATCATTCACACAGACAAATGATCTCAAACGACATCAACGGGTGCACACTGGCGTCCGACCGTACAAATGCACAATTTGCTCCAAATCATTTTCACTGTCTGGTAATCTCAAACGACACCAACTGGTGCACACTGGCGTTCGAGCGCACAAATGCACAACATGCTCCAAATCATTCCAAACAAATAGCGATCTTAAAACACACCAACTGGTGCACACTGATTCTAAACTATTTCAATGCACCATTTGTCAACAGACGTTCAAATGGAAAAAGGTTCTTAAAAAACATCTTAAGCGTAAGCATTCACAGTAAAACTACCTTACCTGCCTCTTTTTTATCATAAAATTTTTTTGTAAAAATCATTCTTCTGCTTTCCTTTCCACTGAACACTATTTGTAATCTAATAAGTTATTTGTAAAATAAAATCACTGAGTTGAAATCTTTTTGGACTTTTTGCGAAGTTACTTGCACGCACTACCGACACCTGTTGCTGGTGAACAGCAGCCAATCAGCCGTTTAAAAGGTGGTTTTTGCACAAATGAAATTGCTCAATTGACCGCCGTTTAACAAATTGCAACCATTTAAAGGCACATTTGAACTTTGCACATATTCTATGTTAAGTTAATTTCCGTTTTTCACTATCATTCAAAAATCTTTATCTGAAACGTCAAACTACTTAAAATTATTCT